AATCTGCTCCCCCTCACCATGTTGACATGTGAAAAGCGGCCCCACTATTGGCTTAAACTCTAACTAAAAACTGTGTGATAGATAACAGTGTGAGACAAAATATCTCTGAAATATGCACGGCTCTTTGATGGGGTTAATTTGATTGAGATTTGTACCTTCTTTAATGGCATCATACTCCTGGCACTCACCATCCAACCAACCTAGAGGTAATCTCTGATGCTTACATTTCCCTAAATCCTCACATCCAATCAGTTGCCAGCTCCTCTTGGTTCTGTCCCCTCCCATTGTTCAGGACCTCTTAGCCTCTCGGACTTCTGACCTTTCAAATATAGTCTTTTCCTGCTCCAACCCAGTCTAAACACTTTCAGAGTATAGGTTGGATCACGCTCCTGCCTAAAAAAAAAAACCTCTTTGTCACATTTGGACGTTGCTTGGATGCCACTTCATTCTAAAAATTAATAAATATTTATCCCATCTGTCCCATTCAACTTCAGGGAAAGTTCTTCACAGAAGAATCACAGATGATAGATGCAAGAGTTTTGATAGAATCTGAAAATCACCATTTTGCAACCCCTAATGAAATAATGGATCCAGGTAATAATCATCAATGGCTGCTAACACCATTAGGTGAAAGACTGACAAGGAAGATTGATCGTGGTAGATGACACCACCACAAGCCACCGACCAAACTTAAAATCACCGAAAGTGGAACAACCAGACATGCTCCTCCTGAAGTGAAGCAAAAGAAGGTATATAGTATCACCTAGGGAGTATTCTCAGAAAAACATTTCAGAACAGAATCAAATCAAGTTTCTAGATCTAATTAGACACCATGGGGATACCATCAGCCAAATCCTAAGTGAAGGAAATTCTGTAGGATATGTGACCTATTCCTTCCTCAAATAAATGGCAAAAGGAAAGAAATTAAAAACGAGGTGAGTGTTATAGAGTAAAAGAGACATACCAACTAAATGAAAATGTTGGATCCTGATTTAAACAATCTACAGAAAGACATTTTTGAGATAGGAACACTCAATACAGGCTGATTATTACATGATAGTTAAGAAAATCTTACTAATTTTGTTGAGTGACAATGATATCGTGGTTTGGTTAAAATTTAAAAGATCTGTTAGAAATACATCTTTAAGTATTTACAAGTGAAATGATACAATGCCTGAAATTTAAAATCCTCCAGCAAAGACACTTTTTAAAAGGAAGGGGTAAATGAAACAGGAAAGACAGAATATTGATAGCTGTTGAAGCTGGGTAATGAGTACATAGAATTTCATTATTCTAGTCTCTGTTTTTGTGTATGTATTAACATAAAAACTTATTAAAAATATGAATAATATTGAAATTATTCCATATTAATAATGAAAAAGTTAGCATGCCAAAAACCTCAAGCTATGCTGAACACTCAAGTGGGTAATAGATGCTATGAGTTTCTCTCTCAGGTAGGTACACTGGATGATGGAGTCTGGGAAAAGCTTGCTTTTAGACTTCTAAACATTTAATACATAGGTGTGCATGTATGTATATATGTGTGTATACACATGTGTATGTACACACAAGTCTGACTTCATAGACACGCAACCTGTGTGGCTGCATAAGGCCCCATGTTAATTTTTGAACAAGGGCCTCACATTTTCATTTTGCATTGGTTCCCACAAATTATATAGCTGGCCATACACACAAACACACACACTTATATATGTATATGTGTATTTATACTAAATATACCTAACACAAATAACATACATGCTCTGAGTAAGTGACATATATATGTACTTATGTTAAATATGTGCACACTTAATAAAAAATATATGTGTGGTTAGTAATAAAAATTTCCTAGAAGTTCTGTTTCTAGTGAAGCAGCTAGGTCACAATAGCTCTTCAAAATCTCTGCATGTATGTATGTTTTAATTAGCAAATAAGGTCCCTGGCCTTTGCCCCTCTCCTCCTCTGATAAGAGGGTACTTTTTTTAAAAAATTTATTTAATTTTGGCCGCGTTGGGTCTTTGTTGCTGTGTGCAGGCTTTCTCTAGTTGCAGCGAGCGGGGGATACTCTTCATTGCGGTGTGCGGGCTTCTCATTGTGGTGGCTTCTCTTGTTGAGGAGCTTGGGCTCTAGGCATGTGGGCTTCAGTAGTTGTGGCACGCGGGCTCAGTAGTTGTGGCTCACAGGCTCTAAAGCACAGGCTCAGTAGTTGTGGTGCACGGGCTTACTTGCTCCACAGCATGTGGGATCTTCCCGGACCAGGGTTTGAACCTGTGTCCCCTGCACTGGCATGTGGATTCTTAACCACTGCGCCACCAGGGAAGCCTGAGGATACTTTTTATTTACTATAGTTTTGAGGCTGAGAAAATATATACTCAAATAAATAAAAGCATCAAGGGACGCTTTATTTACTTCATAGTAGTAGAAATATTAAAGTGAGAGAAGGATATATAAAAGTATTCAATCACTATGTTGTACACTTGAAACTAATATAATAATGCAAATCAACTATACTTAAATTTAAAAAATGAAAGAAGGTAAAAATAAGGCCACATTCACACTAATTTGCCACATTCATTGGTTTTTCTTTTGAGTTTCGCCTTATTCATCAAATCCAGATAACATTAGTTTCTTAAAAAAGATTTCTCTCCACCCAGAAAAATTTCAAACCTACAGAAAAGCTCCAAGAATAATACAAGAAACACTTCTATATTGTCCACCTAGATTTATCAATTCTTCAATTGTTAACACTTTGCCACATTTCCTCTCTCTCTTTTTATATATATATGTACTATCTTTCTATATATATATGTATTATCATTGATTTTTGCTGAACATTTGGAAGTTGCATATGTCATGCCACTTCACCCCTAAGTATTTCTGCATGCATTGCCTAGGAATAAGACATTTTCTGGCATGACCATGATATCATTATCACACCTAAGAAAATTATCAATTATTCTATAACATCATTTAATATGCAGTCTATATTCAAATGTTCTCAACTACCTGAAAAATGTCTTTTATAGCTATTTTCTGGGTTTTTCTTTTTTCTTTTTTTATATCCAGTATACAATCAAGATTCAAGCATTGCATTTGGTCATTGCATTTGGTCATTATATGTTTCTAGTCTCTTTGTATTTAGAAGAATTCCCTACTTTTTTTTTTTTCCATGATACTGACTTTTTGAGAAATCCAAGTTAATTACCTTATCAAATGACTTCTTTCAGGATTTGTCTGATCATTTCCTCATGATTAAATTCCAGTTAAACGCTTTGGGCAAGAAAACTAAATAGGTGATAGTGTATAATTCTTACATCACATCAGGAGGGTCATGATGTTAGGGTCTTCCACTTTCGGTGATGCTAAATTTAATTACTTTATTATTGTGGTGATAAGATCTTTCCATTTTAAAGATACATTTTCCCCTTTGTAATATCATCTGTCGGACTATATTTAAATCCTTTTGAGGCTCCTGTTTCCCAGCGCCTTTTCAACCAATAATTTTAGTATCCATTGATGAACCTTGCCTTAATCAAATACTGCATGGGAGTTGAAGACCATATTAAATGCTTTTAGTAACACTTTCTAGAAATTGCTATAAGCCTTCACAAAAATATTATCTATTACTATGATTTTTCTGCTAAGCCTAAATTTGGCTCATTTTAAAAATTGTAAAATTATATGACAATTCTAGAACAGTAGTTGGATGCTATAAAGCTTAAAGGAACCCTCAGTTTCTTCCAATATACAGCTCATATTATTTTCCAGCATTCCCTACAGCAATTCAGGGAAACAAACTAGTATACCTAATGTTCCTCAAATCTATCTTTTCCAGAACGCATGCCATGCCCCTTGCCCATACTGCCCAAATGTTCTCCTCTCTATTCATCTAAATCCTTCACGTACTTGGAAGTCTCACTGGCGTGTCACTTCTAAGCCCTGTGCCATGGTTCCTCAGCATAGAGTGATCTCACCCCTCCAGACTGATTGTTTTCTATGCTCAGCTACTGTCTTACAGCATAGTTATCATCTCTTTAAAGTGTCTGTTATAATAGGTACAAAATGTATTTAAGAGAAATAGAATAATTATGCAGTAAGCACTAGTGGACTCAACAGCCAGTGTAAGAAAAGAAAGTTAACTGTTACCTTGCAAGCCCATTTCTCCAATCACATCACTCCCATCCCTCCTCAGAGCCAATCACTATCAGAATCTAATAATAGTTCTCAATCCTTTCCTTCCCTTTATTGTTTTACCACATTTGTTTGAATACCTAAGCACACATTTCACTTAGCATGTTCTTGAACTTTATACAGTATTTTCTGCAATCTGCTTTGTTTGCTTAATATTATGTTCCTGAGAGATGTGGCACGTTAGTGCATTTAGCTGTAATTCCTTCATTTTCACTATAAAACACTATATAGTATTCCAGTGTGTGAATACAGTTTATGTATCCATTTTTCTTCTGGTGCACATTAGCGTTGTTTCCTGTTCCTTTGATTATAATAAACGGCATTTCTATGAACATTCCTGTGCACATGTATGTAGAAATGGAACTGATGGCTTTTCAGGAATGGCAATGTACATGTAACTTTGCTAGATGATACCAAATTGCTTTCCAAAGTGATTATACTTATCTCTTCATGGTTACCATATTTCTCCAGCTGGATTGTTAGCTATTTTGGACAGAGATACATCTTATATCTTTTTGGCCTAGAAACAGCAGGTATTTAATAAATAGTCATTCATTAATTGATTAACTAATTGGTATTAAAAAGAAAATCTGAGGCATTTTTCCCCCATCTTCATAATAAGGAGATGAGCGAGGGGAAGGCAAATGTAAGAATGTTTTTGAAGTAAGAAAAAATGCAAACCTTTCTGCAAATGTGGCAAAAATTAAGGGAGAAAGGAAAATAGAAGATAAATACCATTAATATTCCCAAGCAGACTTTGGACAGTTATAGGAAAATGGAGTATCAGAAGAAGGATACTTTTTAAATATCTAACATGTATTCCATTTCTTTTTCTCTGCAATATTATTCCACTCCTTCAAAGTCTTCAGTATTTCCAACGTGTTAGGTCGTTTCTTGGGATCATTTGAGAGTAATTTCTGTAGAAGATTTTTCTGTAATGATAGTAAGAGTCAATACTAGGAAATAAAACATTGCAATAAATAAAATTCCGATTATTTTTAAGTGCTTACTTCTTTACTGTCAAATTTATCTGAGAAGGTGCCTTCCCTTAGACCGTCAAGAAGCTAAAAATTAAACATATATATTCATTAGGAAATTATTCACTTTGGAGAAAAAACAAACTTAGGAAGCACTAAAGCTGGGGATACCCTAAATCTGGGATGTTTCTAGATCTTTGGAAAATCTCTTTAGCCAAGAAGCAAGCAGGAATCCTCTCCTCTACCCACCCCATGTTTTAACCATCCTGAACATTACAGCATGTTGAAGTGTTAAGAGCATCATATGAATTATCTCCCTTCATCCTTTTTGGAACCCTATGCAATAGGTATTTTCATTATCCCTGTTTTACAGAGAAGAAGGCTGTCGAATCCAGGTGAGTCCCTTTTACTGAGCTTCAGACTAGGATATCCAGTTGCATGCAGGCTTCAATGGCTCCCTGCTTCCTCCACAAGAAAGTCCACATTCTTGCCTCAATGTAGCCCCACTATATCTTTCCAGTACCATCAACCACTACTTCCTTGACTTATATACTCCAATAAAAATGATACCGGCCAGCTATTCCCAAACACACTTTTCACATTCCTGTCTCCACATGGCCTTCTTTCCAATCTGGACTATTAGAAGTCAACCGGTCCTTCAGAGCTCAATTTAAATGTCTCCATGAAACCTAAGTCCCTACAGCTGGCAAGACCTCCCTCCTAGCTGTTTCCATTAGACCTCATCCCTTCTCCTAAAACATTTACAGCATTGTCTTATGTTACCTTTCCTCCTAGAATATAAGCTCCTTGAGAACAAGGCTTATTTATTTTCATAATCCTTGGAGCACGTAGCACAGGGTCTTATGCAAAGCAGGCAATCAAAACAATTTTACAGAGTGACTCAATTAGGAAGAAACAGCTACAGTTTTATGAGATGTACACACCTTCCACAGAAGACCAAAGTTTTTGATCTTTAACAAAAAGTACTGGTTGCCCAAACATGAAAGGGATAAAAATTCATATTGCATTTGCAGTCAGCACTAATATGCTCCAGCCCATCCTCACATGGAGGCAATAACTGTCTGCAGCAGCACTTTGGACATGACGGCCAATGATATTTGTTGCTTAATTCTTTCTGTGAGATTATTTACCTTCACTGTTTCTAACACAGTGGAACATATGTGAAGAAGTTCTGCAAGAATTAGTCCCAAAGCAAAGATGTCCACTTCATTTCCATAGTCTTCCATACAAGAAATCTGAAGGAACCAAAGTATATTTACATTTGTGACTCATCTTATATAAACACCCATGCCTTCTAAAGCCAAAAAAGTTATCTGACCAAAATGTATCACACAACAATGTATGTTTATTAGCAAGATGTGTGGAGTCTGACTGCCCAGGTTCAAATCTCTGTCACTAAATAGTTGAATCACCATCAATGTGGGAATAATCTCGACCATCAAATGCAGATAACAATAGTGTTAACCTCATAGCTTAACTGCAGGGTTAGATGAGACGAGCAGGTGAAGCAGTTAAAATCATGCCCAGCAAATCAGCTGTATGCAAATGTTCATAGCAGATTTATTCATAATATTCCACACCTGGAAGCAATCCAAATGTCCATCAGCAGAAAAATGGATGAACAAATTGTGGTATATTCATACAACAGAATAGTATTCAGCCACAAAAAAGAATAATCTGCTGACATGAGCAACAACTAGAGGTTCTCCAACAGGCATTACTTTGAGTGAAATAATCAAATACAAAAGAGTACATACTATATGATTCCATTCTTATGAAGCTCAAGAACAGGGAAAACTAATCTATGGTGATAGAAATCAGAGCACTGGTTGCCTCTGGGCAGTGGAGAGGAGTGACTGACTGGAAAGTGGTCTAAGGGAATACTCTAGGGTGAGGAAAATGTTCTACATTTCCATAGGCTTGTAGGTTTCACAGGTCTATGCCTTTGTCAAAACTAAAAAAAAAAAAAGTACATTTAAGATCTGTGCATTGTATGGTGTATAAATTATTCCTCAATAAAATGTGACAATATAGGATGCAGGAGATATTTTAGAGAGTGGGAGTTAAAAGGGAGCTGTTAGTCCCCTACTGTCTTCTACCTTCACACTTTGCAAAAAGCTTATGTTTTTATGCTGAATGGTCCCCAAAGGAAGACGTGTGTTCCTTCTTCATTCTAGACTCTCAAACCATCAGATGGCTCACTGTATTTTTTCTTAGATGACAAAATAGTAGGGGTATTTTGAAAGATATATTACCTTTCAGTAAAAAATCATCTTTAAAGGGCATTTATAAAAAAAAAAAAAAAAACATAGGACAAACAACCCCAAAAGATGAAAACAGACAGTAAGCAATCAACCAAAAAAACAAACAAAACAAAACAAAAAAAACCACCTACTAGAATAATGAGTCTATATAAAAGCCAAACATTCATGAATTGATAGCTGTACAACCATATTCATAGCAGCAATACAGTGATACTCAAAGTAGCTAAAAGGTAGAAGCAACCCTAATATTCCATCGATGTGACAGATTAACATAATGTGATATATCCATACAATGGAATATTATTCAGCCTTAAAAAGGAAGGAAATTCTGACACATGCTACAACATAGATGAATCTTGAGGATATTATGCCGAGTGAAATAAGTTAGTCACAAAAGGACCAACACTGTGTGATTCCACTTATAAGAGGCCCTTAAAGTATTCAAATTCATAGAGAAAGTAGAACGGTGGTTGCCTGGGGCTGGGAAAGGGGAATGGAGAGCTATTCAATGGGTCCAGAGTTTCAGTTTGGCAAGATGAAAAGTTCTATGGATGGATGGTGGTAATGGTAGCACAACAGTGTGAATGTACTTAATGCCACTGAACTGCACACTTAAAACTGGTAAAGATGGTAAATTTTATGTTATGTGTATTTTACCACAATTAAAAATAAATATATTTTAAAAATCAGCAGCCTCACTAATAACCAATAAGATACAAGGAATCCCATTTTAATAGCAAAACATGATACATATCCAGGGAAAAGCTTTAAAAATATGAGCAAACTTCATAAAGAAAAAACAAATTTTCATTGAATATTTTCATTGAAGAATATAAAAGTGGCCTTGAGGTAGAATATACTATTGCTCCCAATTGTGCACTGGCCTCCCAGAGAGAGCATGACACTTCCCCACCATGTGTTTGTCTTGAGCTGGCCAATTTGCTCTGGGCAATGACTTTTAGTGATGTATGCCACTGAGGAGCAGAATCTTAAAAGCCATCACAAGGTTCTGACACTGCTTTCTGCAGTGAGGACAAATACTCAGATAGGGTTCTTCCTTCAGCCTGGGTTCTAGAATGAAGGAGACACGTGGGGCAAAACTGGGCCAAGACTGCAGCCATTACACCACGTGAGCAAGAAATAAACCTTTGGTGTTGTGCATGCCACTAGGAAATCAGTGTCATTTGTTACCATAGCATAGCCTGGCAAAAGCTGACTGAGGAGGATTTGAATAATTGGGAGAAATATACCAATTTCTTGGACACTTTTTGGAGAAGAAGTCTCAAATATATAAAGATGTCAATTCCCCTCAACTGAATTCTTAAATATAATGCAATTGCTATCAAAACATCAACACCAGTTGTGGAACATGACAAATTGATTCTACAGTTTATTTGGAATAGTAAATGTGAACACTAAGAACATTTTTTTCTTCCAGTTTCATTGAGCTATAATTGACCTACAGTACTGTATAAGCTTGAGGTAGAACATTTTTTAATTGAAGAATAATGTCCTGATATCTATCAGGACATTATATAATGCTGTAATAATTCTATAATGCTAAAATATAAAACATTTTATAATGCTATAATAAGTAAACAGGATGATATTAAAGAGGAAGAACATTAAATAAATCAACTGGACAGAATAGAGTCCAGAAACAGATCCATAAGTGTGTGGGAATTTCATATATGATAAAATATCATATTTATATTGTGTTAAATATATATATAAAACTTACCGTTTTAACCATTTCCATTTGTACAATTTAGTGGCATTAAGTGCCTTCACAATGTTGCATAATCATCACCACTATCTATCTCCAGAAATTTTTTCATCATCCCAAACAGAAAATGTACCCATTAAACAACAACTTCCCATTCCTCTCTGCCCTCAGCCCCTGGTAACCTCTGTTCTACTTTTTGTCTCTACAAATTTTCCTTAAAAGAATATTTAGATCATTAACTATTTGATATATGGTGATGGGGCAGTTTCATACCCATATGGGGAAAATCAAGTTATACTTCATATATATACAAAAGTTAATTCAGCTAAAGTATCAATAAAAACACGAAATATTTTTATAATCTTGTGGTAGGAAGGACCTCCAAAATAAAAACGATTAACCCAGAAGCCATAAAGAAAGTACTGAGGGACTTCCCTGGTGGCGCAGTGGTTAAGAATCCGCCTGCCAATGTAAGGGACACAGGTTTGATCCCTGGTCCAGGAAGATCCCACATGCCGCGGAGCAACTAAGCCCGTGCACCACAACTACTGAGCCTGAGCTCTAGAGCCCGTGAGCCACAACTACAGAGCCCGTGTGTCACAACTACTGAATCCCATGCACCTAGAGCCCATGCTCCACAATGAGAAGCCACCGCGATGAGAAGCCCGTGCACCACAACGAAGAGTAGCCCCTGCTCACCGCAACTAGAGAAAGCCCACGCGCAGCAACTAAGACCCAAAGCAGCCAAAAAAAAAAAAAAGATCAAGCTACACCTCATTCATCTCAGTGACTAAAACTGCAGTCTGATAATTCCATAGTCTGACTGAGAGTGTGAGGGAGAAGGCGGCATTCTCGTCCACATTAGGAGAACATACTAGAGTCACTTTTTTTGAATGACAATTTCACAGCATGTATAAATTTTTTTTGAATTTTTGTATCTATTTTTTATACAGCAGGTTCTTATTAGTTATCTACTTTATACATATTAGTATATACACGTCAATCCCAATCTCCCAGTTCATCCCACCCCCGGCCACTTTCCCCCCTTGGTGTCCATACGTTTGTATGGACATCGGTGTCTCTATTTCTGCCCTACAAACCGGTTCATCTGTACCATTTTTCCAGGTTCCACATATATGCGTTAATAGTATGTATCAACTTTGAACTGCACCTGTCATTCTAGTCAACAATTTCAGTTCAAAGAATCTATCATTGATTATCATCAAAATATTTGTTTTTAGACTCAGAGATAAGGAGGAAGACACATAACATGTCTATAAATGTAAAAAGTTGGAAACAATCTAAATAAATGCCCATCAATAAGGCAATAGTTAAATGAGTACCTGTATATCTATACTTTGGCATACAATACACTTGTTAAAAATAATGTGTCAAGGGCTTCTCTGGTGGCGCAGTGGTTGAAAGTCCGCCTGCTGATGCAGGGGACACGTGTCCGTGCCCCGGTCCAGGAAGATCCCACATGCCACGGAGCGGCTGGGCCCGTGAGCCATGGCCGCTGAGCCTACACGTCTGGAGCCTGTGCTCCGCAACGGGAGAGGCCACAACAGTGAGAGGCCCGCGTACCGCAAAAAAAAAAAAAAAAATGTGTCAAATCTATTTGTACAGCTATGGAAAGATTATGATACACTGTTGAGTAAAAAAAAATTAAGCCACAAAATAACATTATAGTATCTTGTAAAATGTATTTATGTATGTTTTTATGTAAAAAGTCTCTGTAAATATATATTTTTATCTGTATATTTTTTTATAACTCAAAATGATCTACAAGGATAAACCACAAACTCTAGTGAGAAGAGTAAAAAGGAAGGGTAAGGAGAGTTTTCCATTTTTATTCTATTTACTTCTGTACTGTTTTAATTTTATGAGAGGTGCCTATTATTTTTATAGTTAAAAAAATGAAAGAGATAAAAATATATATCAACAGAAAGGAAGGGGACCTCACCTGTTCTGGGCTCATGTATCGCCTAGTTCCCTGTTTACTTGTCCGTGCTTCATCATTTTTGAGGTATGTTACAAGTCCAAAGTCTCCAATCTTTATTTGGTTCATACCTACTAAAAATATATTACTTGGCTACAGAAAAAAAATATTAACTTGTAAGTACCAATTTGACAAGACTTTTATTACACATCCAAATCATATTTAGTAATAGCTATTTTTATATTTACTTATAAGGCATTTACTCTTACATAGGTAAGCCCAAAACAGGAAATTTATTATTACCAGTCTTTAAAATGCTAGCTGAGGAAGTAAGGACTTTTTGGCTGAGAGCAGAGAAGGCTTGGGGCATAGCTGCCTTCAAATATCTTAAGATAAGTGGAAGGTGGATTCACTCTGCCTTGTCCCAGGGGACAGATCCAGGACTAGAGGATGAAAACAACCACAAGATTTGCCTTAATATATCCTGATATACTAATCGTGTGGTCCAAAGAATGGGAGTTAGAGAGTTCCCCATCCTACGAAGTATTCGAGACAGGGCTGGACGCCCACCTGGTGGAAATGTTGCAAATAACAATTAATGGTTAGATTGGAACCTACCGCCAGTAACACGGACGGAAACCTGTAGACGTGTGGGGATGTAGAGAGAAAATGTGCCTCTGCTGTATTCAAGTTACAGTGTAGGAAGATGTTGGGTTTGCAAGTACAACTGCTGGTCCCACACAAGGCTACAGCCTGGCTCTGAGAAATAGGAGGTTGCATTTACGAAACTGTCTAAATATATAAGCTGGATGGGACTGTCTAATAAAAATATTAGATTGCTTGTTTATAGTTCATTAAAAAGAAAAAAAAACATGATGCCACATTTTGTCTAATCAGTTATGGTATGACTAGGCAAAATGTTGGATGGTAGAACATAAAAAAGGGTGCGAAAAAAAAAAGGGTGCCAACTGGGAATACCCTGGTGGTTCAGTGGTTAGGACTCTGAGCTTCCACTGCAGGGGGCCCAGTTTAGATCCCTCATCGGGCAACTAAGATCCCACAAGCCGCAAGGTGTGGCCAAAAAAAAAAAAAAAAAATTTTAAAACCTACCGCCAGTAACACGGACGGAAACCTGTAGACGTGTGGGGATGTAGAGAGAAAATGTGCCTCTGCTGTATTCAAGTTACAGTGTAGGAAGATGTTGGGTTTGCAAGTACAACTGCTGGTCCCACACAAGGCTACAGCCTGGCTCTGAGAAATAGGAGGTTGCATTTACGAAACTGTCTAAATATATAAGCTGGATGGGACTGTCTAATAAAAATATTAGATTGCTTGTTTATAGTTCATTAAAAAGAAAAAAAAACATGATGCCACATTTTGTCTAATCAGTTATGGTATGACTAGGCAAAATGTTGGATGGTAGAACATAAAAAAGGGTGCGAAAAAAAAAAGGGTGCCAACTGGGAATACCCTGGTGGTTCAGTGGTTAGGACTCTGAGCTTCCACTGCAGGGGGCCCAGTTTAGATCCCTCATCGGGCAACTAAGATCCCACAAGCCGCAAGGTGTGGCCAAAAAAAAAAAAAAAGGAGCAAACTTTATCCAGGAGGTACAGGAATAAGGGCTGAGGCTGACCAAGGGGCCTGGACCGATTGGGGGACTGAACTCCTCAGGCCCTAAGCCCTCACTCCACAAACCTCTGTGTCCATCACCAGCATTTTTGGTCTGGTTCTTAAGGTAAATGCTGGTCGACTTTATAGAATAGGGGCTTTATTGGGTAAAAACTGTTCTCTGGCAAAGCCACCAGGAGCAGGTATTTTGCAAAGCATCACAAAATAAGGTGCACACCGTTGTTCATATCTTCTCTCAGATATGAGAAAACAGTAACTGTAGCAGTGAAGCTAGAAGTTGAAGAAGATGAGAGAAGGCTCAGTAGTATTAAAGTTTGACCTTTGAGCACCTGCCGACATAGAGCAAACATTCTCTGCAGACACAAGAAAAGATCACTCCCCGACACGGAGCACAAGCAGTACGGAATACAGGAGGGAACTGGCAGACCAGGTGGTGGGAGAAGGGAGCCCCGATCAGAATTTCACTAACTCATCCTGACAAGGGTCTGGGAGGTAACACTCAAACTGCTGAGTAGAGGAAATGACTGTGTAAGTAGATAATTTATTTGCAAATGATTGTATAAATAGATAATTGTGTTTAATTTCTTATTTAACTCTATGATGTATTTCGAAGTGTAGGTATAGCCATTCTAAATGTAACCTTTTGAACAGAGTCATTATATCATTCCAACTTCAAAGAACACCTTCAGATACTGTTAAAAAAAGATACTGGAACCAGGTAGACTCCTACTTGAAGGCATCAGACATCCAGCCCCTGGGCAGACCAAGGATGCAATACCTCTTAAGGGCCATCTTTTTCTACCTAGGCCCAACAAACAACTATGTACATGGTTGCTTATTTTTCTCAAGGAACTTTTTGCTTTGTTTCTCATTCCTGGCTGTTTTAGACAGGTGGGGTAAGCAGAGAGTCAAGGTCCACATAGACAAGGTGCTTCTGTCTGATCCAGAGTGACTGGGAAAGGCTCATAAAGGAATTGGGACCAAAGGGGACAGGCAGAGAGTGTCCAATGCAAGAACATAAGCAAAGATTCGGTGACAGGATTCAGCATGGCCAGTTTGTGATAAGCGTAGGCAAATCACAGGGAGTATGGAGGAGAGACTGAAAGCTCTTCTGTCTCTCTTCTTTCATTTTTGAGGAGGAAATGGAAAAACTGCTCAACTAGACCATAAAAGAAGCTAGGAAGCCAGAAGAAAGTGAAAATACAAAGATATGCTACATGTTCCAAGGTTTGGATTACTGCAATTTTCCAATCATGGGGCACAGATGTCTAACCAAATGCCAAGAAAATTCTAGACTCTGGACCTAGTGCCTGTGACTGCCCTCAAGAGTAATGACTGAAAGGTTAAGAGAACCATGTTCCCAAAGCCAGTTACCAGAGTCCCTTCTGCCTCTCAGATAAGCCTGAGAAGCAGTAGAGGCAGGGACAGAGCAGCCAGCTGGCTGTGCCAGTCACAATAATTATTTGCACAAATGTTCAGTATACTAAAGCTCTTAGTGTTTACAACTGGGGTGTGACTATCAGCCAGGATGACAAATAGAACCAGAAGTGAATGAGCTTCTTCCTGTGGAGCTCAGTGTCTCCATAAGTTTACAGCCCTGGAGACCTTCTGCGTGGTTCTATAGATTGGTATTTGGGGCAAGTGCTAGATCCATTCTAACTTTAGAGGATCAGAGATGTTATTTCCTCATGACTGTCAATCGATTCTAAAACTAAAGAAGATAGACTTTTAAATTAATTAATTTATCATTTCCTAACAAAATACTTTTTCCACATACCTTAAGGTCTCTATGAATTAACTGTTTTGAATGTATGTAATGCACTCCTTCTGTTATTTGTTCAAAGAATACCAAAGCCAAACATTTGTCTTGTTCCTTGCCTCTTCTACTGTCAATCCATTGCTCCAATGTCCCTTTATCACAGTATTCCATTTGGATGAAAAGGCACCTAGTCTTTGATCTGGGTATAAAATTCACAGTATGTTAGAAGTAGCAATAAAAATAAATTTATAAAAAAATACACTTAAAATTCCATTAAAAAAATTGCACCTTCTTAAAAATGCCAAAATATGTCTCAAAACAAACCTAAATATAACAAATTTGAATCAAAACATAATAACCCAGTCTTTATTTAAATCATAAATTCCCAGGTATCCAAAGCTTTGTTTAGCTAAGTTATAAAGTAGCAGCCTGCCCATTCTTTGTTGCTGAAGGTCCTTGATTATCTTTGCTAATAGATAGGAATAGAAGCATAAATACTATGGAATTGCAGAAAACCAAATTTCATTAATATATACAGTAATTTTGAAACATTTTAATTCACCATTGCTCTACTGAGCATCTATTTTGTGAAAGGCACAGAACAGGCATCTAAAGATAAGAAAGTGAGTTAGACACTATCCTTGCTGTCATGAGGATTATAGTTTAATAGGACAGAGATAAAGGAAAAACAAACCTAAAATATTAGTACATAGATAAGAATTCTAAGAACAGTGCCAACAAATTGCTATGAGGTATAGCAGGGAGGACTGATTTTGCTAACCATGGTTTTTTGTTTTGGTTTGGTTTTTGGGTTTTTTTCTGAACTAAGTTGGCCTCAATACTAATTTAAATTCTTTGAGCATATATTGGCTAGAAAATAGAAAAAGGTAGCCAGGAATTTGCTGAAAGCTGAAGAAGTCTATATGTTGATGGTACTTCTGAAACCGATGATAAGGTTCTCAATTACATGGTGTGGAGACGGTGAATGAACAGGCCCACAGTGGCCTCAGGATTGTACTGAAAGGACTGTCTCCAAGAAACACTGGGTGACTTTCCAAGGGAGGCACCAGCACTTTAAAACCCTTCAGTCCCTTTGTAGTGGCTTATCTGAGACAAATCGTCAGTAATTCAAGGTTTGAGGGGAGGGTGCCCCCATCACAGCTCAGGGTCTTGGAATTATTTTCACTGCCCACCACCTGACCATAAGTGGTATAACTGCATTCAGAAGAGGCCCCTTGACTGCACCCTGACAACCAGGTGAGAGGGACAGAAGAGGGTTGGCAGTGGAGGAACGAGGGGAGCCTCCAAATGCAGCATCTACAGCGAGTTCAAACCTTCACAAGACTGCGTTTATGGCCTGGATGAAGTCAGGGCATGTGAGCAAGCCTGTACCTTAAACAACAGAGTCAGGAAAGCTAAACCTGAGATTTCAAAAACCACAGAAGACAATTAAAAAAAGGTTTTTTAAAGCAAGTTTGGAGCAAGAAGAAGACTATTCATTGTCTCCTTACTTGTAGAATGGAGGCATAACAGCGTCTGTCAGAAACAGTGTTTCTGGCTGTGATTATTAAATGTAATAATTAATGGCCTTACCCAGTGGCCCACACATAGTAAATGACTGTTTCCTCTATCCCATTATGACTATGGGAATTTCCTTTTAGTTACCTTGAAGAATTTATGCTTTGCTCAGGATCGTAATCAAGCCCATCCCAACAACTGTGGTAGTGAACAATATTTGGATGATCAAGCATTGCCAAAGCTTTCACTTCACGCTCTACCTTCCTAGTTAAAAGAAACAGGGAACACAAAAGCATCAGTATCCATCCCTGATAACAACAAGAAAACACCTCGAGCAACAGGAGAGAACTACTTATATTCCCTTATTAAACAGTTGCCATGGTTTCCACACTGAGTTTTAGAATGGAAGCCAGCAGTGCTCAAAAGAGTGAACACACAGAAAAAACACAGCTGTTCTCACTCTCAACATAAGAGAAAAAACAGTAACTTAATTATTCTAAACATCACAGTTTAAAAGTCATACGTAGTAGTCTGTGAACTGCCAGTGATGGAATTTTTTTTTCTGTGGGGGAGGTAAAAAAAATCATCCACTATGTTTTATTTAGACGTGTTAAAATCACTTTGGATTTCATAAGCAAACCCCATTTGGGCAGAAGTGGTAGGTAACACAAGCAGCATGAAGAATCTAATACAGAATTTTCAGTGTGTGGCAAAAGTACACAAAGGGGGTGATCTATGCAGAGAGACTGAAATTTCATTGCACAATGTGGAAGCTTTACAGGGATGTGTAGTCAAGAGCTATGACAATTCTATGCCAAATGGAATAAATAAATTTGTGATTTCAAGGATGAGAAAATAAGCAAACATTTTATAATTTCTTTCTTTAATTTGAAAAGTTCTATATGATGTAAAATTTATAAAAATAAAGAAAAAAATTACTCATGTCAACACAATTCTAACATAATCATTTATTATTTTAGATTATTTATTATAGTCTTTCTTCATATATATGTTTACATATTTGTAATTAAAGGGTATATTTTTATCCTATTTTTTCCATATAATGTATTAGCTTTAAAATTTTCCTGATTATTATACAATCTGTATAACCATCATGTATAAAGTTTTTAATGTAAGATTTCAAAAGTAGAGCAAATAGTAGAATGAGCCCCTACCTGGCCATCACTGTTTCATCAGATAAAACAGTTATTAACTCCTGGCCAATCTTGTTTCATTTATACTCTTACCTACTTCCTCATCTTCCCCCTGGATTATGCTAAAGCAACTTCCAGCATCATACTATTTCATGTATAATATTTACAGTACATAACCCTCATTTTTAATGACTGCAAAATAGCCATTGATCAAGGGAGAGAACAAAACACACTTAATCATTTCTTCATTGCTGAACATTTTGTTTGCTCTAATTTCCCACTGCTATAAATGACATTGTGATTGTGATTTTTATCTTCTTGAATAGCTTTTCCCATAATCTGGGTAATATCCTTGTAATAGGTTCCCAGATAGGAAATCCATGGGTCAAAGCATATAAACATTTTTATGGCTCTAGATTAATATCTCCAAGAGTATTTTTCACCAATTTATGCTTTACCAATTTATGAAGCCACTAGAAATGTCCAAGACATTGCACCCTTATCATAATTAAGTATTACCATTAAAAAAGATGTTAGGGGAGAGAAGGAACAACCGTATTTCATTTCTGTTAAGCAAAACGATGAAGAAGGAAAAAGCCTTGTTTTGATGCCGAGTAGGTATGAAGGTATTTCAACTGCAAGGCATTGTCCATGGGACAGAAAGTAGGTTGGTTTAACTGGATGAAGAGCACCTGGGACACCATGCCTGCTTCTCCTTTGCTCATGTCATTTTCCTTCACCCATATCCCTTTTCCATCTCCTTCTCTAGTCCTTGAGTCTGGCCAAGTTACAAATAGTTAACAACTGCCAGAAAACAAAAAGCAAGACTGGTGAACATGTGATTTAAGACCTGCTTCCTCTGTGCTTTCCTTCCTGAAGGAGTTCTGCTATCCAGTAATTGGAGTGGGGTGGGGCTTGGGAAGGGCACAGATAATACGTAAGACAAACATGGGAAGCACTGGTATATAGTGGGAACACAGCAGACTGGTATTCCAGAGGATGAGCTCTAAATCTCCACCTTGTTACCACAGTAGATAGTGTCCAATATGGTCATCATGAATTCCTTCTCTCCACATACTTGCATCCACTCCCCAGAGTAAGAGGTAGTCTATTTGCCCTCCCCTCAAGCTGCTCTTAGTGACTTTGTTTAACCAATATAATGTGGAACTTCCAAGACTGCTCCCTCCTGGGATGAGTTGCTCTGGGACAGTCCTTCTCAGAACCCAACAACTAAGTTGTGAAAAGCCAAGACCACATAAAGGGGCCATGTGGAGGCGCTCTGGTTAACAAGTGCCAGCGGAACTTGTAGCCACAGCCAGCATCACTGCTAGCCATGTGAGAGAGCCATCTCCGATGTCCAGCCTTGTCAAGCTTTCAGATGACTCCTGACCGCAAATGCATGAAGAATGGCCCAGATGAGCACAATCAACTCACAGGACCACCAGAGATAGTAATAACTAGGTGTTTTTAAGCCACTACATTTTGGAGTGGTGGATTATGCAATAATAGACAACGAACACCCACTAGCTTTTACCTTTGTCAGATCAGTTCATATCTTTGGATCTCAGTCCCCTCGTCTGTTAAGGAGATGAAACTACAAAATCTCGAAGGTCATCTTAAGCTAAATGATTTTACAACTTTAGTTTTCATCAAGACAGCCTCAAAAGGATGATCAGTGGTATATCCATTTTTTAATTGAAGTAACCACGGTAAAGTGAGATCATTTCAGAGTAAGCCAAGCTCCTCATGGTAGAATGACATTTTTAAGGAGGACTAAAAAATAATAATAATATGCTAGTGCAGAAGAGAGATACATAAAAAAGAATAGTTGCAGGTTCAAAACACCTTCCCATTCAAAAAAATAAAATATTACTACTTACTCGTTATTATATTTAACACATTTAATAACATAAGTCTTCTCATCAATTTTGTGTTTGGCTTTGAAAACTTGGCCAAATCCACCTGCGCCAATTCGTGTTACTTCTGTAAAATCTCTGGTAAACCTTGAAAGATGAACGTTACTGTTATTCTGAGGTTCAGGGTCCGCTGCTCCCCACTCCCACCCTCCCACTTTCCCTTAACAGCACTGGTGAAATGGACCATCTAATAAGCAGGACTCTCCTCTTCTGAATAAGAAGGATCCACTTCACAGAAATTCTTGAATTGCAAAGGATAGGTCTTTCCTCTTCCCATCCCAACATAACAGATCACCCCTGAGAGTCAGTCACCTTCTGGTTAAACAAAAGCCATGGTAAAGAATCTTATCCCAAGTATAAAACTTTAGAAAACAGAGCCACACTGTGTTCCCCGGCTACCACCAAGCTGTTACAAGAGAAATGAGCACATGCTCTGAGCCTGCCTATGTTGGCAACTCCTTGGGTTTCCCCTCTCCCTCATGCCCCACATTCCATCATTAACCCTGCCAATTCTCCTTCTAAAACACATCTGCTGGTGTCTGCCCACCTTTCCCCATCAGTCCAAACTTCCATCAGACTCCCACAGAACTTTGTTCACTGGACCCTCCACTTCCCCTCCTTCCTCCGCTCCAATCCGTGATCCACAAAGCAACCAGTGTGATAAACACTAAGTCTGATCACGTCTGTTTATTGCCTAAATCCTCCCATAGCCCGCCCCTGCAGTCAGCAAAGCCCAGAAAGTCCTTGCATGGGCTACAGGGGGCCACCTGTTTGGCCCTGCTTCCCTCTCCAGCTGGTCTCGTGGCCCCGGGCCCTTGCTCACTGCCCTCCCAGCACAAGGCCTTGTCTCCGCTCCTCCGACGTTCACATCACCTTTCCCACCTTCACCTTCCCACATGCTCTTCTGCAGAAGCTCAGGGCCTCCCCACAAATGTGACCCCAGAGAAAGCCTTGCCTCACCCCTCACTCTACATCCAAGGGTTCTGCTTTCATTTCTAACCATGTCATGGCTTTTCCTTCAGACCTCTGACCACGGTTGGTAATTACAGACTTCTTCCTGTAATCATCATCCCCTCAAAACTCCAGGAGGGCAGGAGCTGTTTCTATTTGTTCCTGCTATAAATCCAATGTCCAGCACAGTGCCAGGTATATATTAGGTACTTATTAAATATTTGGTGATTCTTTATTATTTTTTAAGCTCGTATTCAATGTCCCCCTGTTGCAAATAGGCCTCCTTTGTTTTAGATACTTTATTTAAGCCCAAACACATGATCTACCACAAAAGCAACCCCTTTTCAAAGTGAAATCTGCTATGGAGCTGGAAAATGGAATACAGATCCAAGTGGATCTATTCTGATTCCTGCAGGAGTACTTTTGTTGAAAAAAAAATCACTGGTTTATAGAAATATTTGCTTTCAATATTAAAACCTTCCATAGATGTCAGAGAAATCCACCTGAGTATCACACAGATCTACACTTACCACATTCCATTTGGATTCATCTAAATTGTGTTCCTCCAAGAGACAATGATTCTTTGTGGGCCTGATTGTGCTAAAACAATTAAACAGTTCAGGTAGAAATATAATTTAACCTGCCTGATGTTCAACAGTCCCTTAAGAAACTTCTGTCAGAGGAGCAAATGTATCCTTAAACAAATTCTTTTTCACAGTTTTCCCTCTTACCTGGAGTCCACAGTATACGTGCTTTCTTCCCTCTTCACAGGAGCATCAAATCTAGGTGCCAAAGATCTAAAAGTTAAGAGAAGCCCATAAACTCAAAACTGAAATCAAATGTAACTTGTTTATATTAGTAGGTTTCATGTCGCACTAGGCTTTTTATATATATATATTTTTTTTTTTTTTTTTTGCAGTACGCCACTGTTGTGGCCTCTCCTGTTGCGGAGCACAGGCTCCGGACACGCAGGCTAAGCAGCCATGGCTCATGGGCCCAGCCGCTCTGTGGCATGTGGGATCCTCCCGGACTGGGGCACGAACCCGTGTCCCCTGCATTGGCAGGCGGACTCTCAACAACTGCGCCACCAGGGAAGCCCCGGCTTTTTATATTTTGAGTCAACTATTAGAATAATGAGGTAGCAAATACTAACCTTTTTCTTTAGAAACAATATGGTTCTCTGTCCTCTATTTTTCGCTCATTTTGGTTCCTCTTTTGGCCTTAACACATTCATTGTCAGCATGCCGCTGGCCTCTCTTTTTCTCCCTCTAGACACAAAACCTCAGGAAATATACCTCTTTGAACTCTCATCTTGGTTGTGTTTCCTTTGACCTTTATTCCTTGCTGGTGGTAAGCCTCCTACAACTGGAAGTTCAAATACCACCTAAAACTAAACAAATACAAACTGCTCTCTCTCCCCTAAGCCGTCAAGTCTTCAACTCCCTTAACAGCATCAGTGCCATGACTCTTGTCAGCATCTCATTCACAAGGAACAATCTTTGTATCCTTTTTCCTTTGCATCTTCTTCACCCAGTTCTGTAACTCAGTTCCCTCAAGTCATGTCTACTCTTCCTTTACAGTCTGTCTCACAAACGCTCCTCCTCCCTCCTCCCTGACACTAGAACCACAACTGACAGCCTGATCATCTCACACACAGACCTCTCCCATCTTCATTCAAATACCCGCATCAGGCATCATCTCTCTGCAAACATCACCTACTGTTTGGAATGTACTGGTGCCTTATAATGGCTCCTGCTGCCATCTCACTCTCACTGCTGACTATACTGACATCCTTGCTTTTCTTTTCAGTTCAAGAAACCAAGTCACCATAATTTACATAACATTTGGTCTTTTTTTTTCTTCCCCAAGTTATGATACCATTTCTACTCTACCTGCTTATCTGCAAAATAATGCACTTCTCTATTGTGTGTGTGTGTGTGTGTGTGTGTGTGTGCATGTGTGTGTGTGTGTGCGTGCGTGTTTCGGCTGTGCCACACAGCTGTGGGATATTAGTTTCCCCACCAGGGATTGAACCTAGGCTCCCGTAGTGAAAGCACAGAGTCTTAACCACTGGACCGCCAGGGAATTCCCATTATGCACTTCTTGTGAAAACATCTCTGCAAACCCATTTCCTCTGTCAGCCTCATCCAAAATAATACCCTTAATCAATTATTCGACCAATAGCCCCATAGGCCTTTATGTCTACAGTGTAGTGTGTGCATATGTTCAAAGATTTCTCCACATATTTAAAAGTATTGTTTGTAGATTTCAAGATTTCAGTGAGCCTTAATTATGCTTTCTACTCTGAAACTCCACTCAAATAAGGGCATATATTACTCTACAAATACTGAAGACTTAATAAATAAGGCTAATAAACTAAGTCTAAAATAAAACTACATTTCAAAACATGTTCAATGCATAATGATACTCACCTCTTCACCTTTCTGGGATTATTTCTGGAACTGTTCTATAATAAAAGAAAATGGAGAATATCAATAGTTTCGGGTGATTATATTAAGTATCTTGCTTTTTCTTGCCATCCTTTCTCCTGTACGTCTAGATGGTTCTTTGATCACATTTCTTTGTCCTTAGATTAACAACCTCATCAATTTGTATGCTCTCACTAAGCCCTGCTTTCACTGCACTTGGCTATATCAAAGTTCTCACCGATTTTAGCAACCAGACAGATATGGCAGGAAGGTCAAAAAAGACAAATTGTAGGACATGTTCTGCAGAAGCACTGATTCTCCAGGTATAGAATATGGCCTCCTAGGTGATCCTCTGGCCAGCAGATCTTAGCAAGAAGGTGTGCATCACAATCACTCACAGTGCTAGTAAAGACACAAGTGTGGCCCAGAGATCTAGTTTAAAATATTTTCATTTTTAGGACAAATTAATAATTTAATTTTAACATTTAGCCAAAAAAGGAGTCTTTGATATACCTCTCAAAAATTAATATCATATAGCTCTTCTTCACTCATATTCACTTTCATTCTATTAGGTTTTGTGGTTTTTTCCCAATTTTAATATGCTGACACAGACTGCGAACACCAGACTAAGATTTCTTGAGCTCATATCACCTGCCAGCCTCAGTTTTGCACAGTGACTACATTATGATAAATTCAGACATTCTGTTCATGGACAATATTGTTTCCAATATCTTCTATTACAAATAATTTTGCAAAGAACATGCTTATACATGTTTCTATGTGCACACATACCCATGTTCCTCTAGAAGACGTACCTAGGAACAGAACTGTTTGGTGGTACAGCTGGCACACCCTCAAGTCTACCACATGTTGCCAAATTGCTCTCTAAGAGGGCTGTACCAATTTATACATCCACCAGCAGCATACAATAGTTATAACAGCAACAGAGCTGTGCTAACACTTAGTATAGCCAGACTCAAATGGATGGGTTTAAAATGGTATCTAACTGTTGTTTTGATTTGCATTTTCCTGATTATTAAGAAGTAAAGCGTCTTTTCATACTTTGTCTGTTGCCCATTTGGGTATTGCTTCTCTGAACTGTCTGTTCGCTCTTTTGTATATTTGTTTACTGAGTTGCTTGTCTTTTTCTTATTGATTTGCTTGTAGTTCTTTATAAATAGGATAACTTTGATAAACACTAATCATCACCACATAAACTATCTGATTTTTAAGTTTAGTTTTTAAGTTTAGTTCTAGTTTTTTAAAACAGAAGCAGAAACTCTATTCATAAAACTTTTAAGTACTATCCAATTGATAGAAGAGCTGAAGCCAGATCATAGAAAATATATGAAAATACAAAGGTGAGTAGGGGGAGAAAGATGGGAGTGAAGAATAGAAGAATTTTGCATGTGAAGAATGGGAGTTAATAAAGAAAGGAGAGAGTGAAAAGGCTGCAAAATATTTTGATTTAGTAAGAACACATGAGAAAAAAATAGAAAAATTATGGTTGGGTACTGGAGGTCATTTTTAAATGGGGAAACACAAAGGAAAATAAGCTTAACTAGGAAGCATAGAGATTAATACTATACCCCTGGAGATTGGAAAGACTTGTCTAATGCATCACTGTTGTCATTGCTTTCCGCTTCATTTGTTGAGAAGTCATTTTCAGATGGTGATTCAGAAGCACTAGAAGAAAAGGGGACAACTATTAGTTTATGAATTTTGCCTATTTTTTGTTGATCAGTAATTGCTTTTTCTAAATTCTCCCTAAACATTAAAATTTTCATAAATATTTGCTCTTTCAGGCCACAATTTGAATCTGTTAAATAACACAACCGTTTCTCCACACTTACGATGTGCTTGTTGCTGAAGAGTTGCTTTGGACATCATCACACACAGTACTGGAACAACCAGAGGATGTGTCAGCTTTCTGAAAGATTTAAGTGCAACTAAATTACTTCTCCATAGTGACTCAGTCTCTGGGAACCAACTACCACATTTATTTCCCCACATTTACCAAACTCACAGCCATAAAGAATTATGGGGTTAATACATTTTTTATGGATGTTTGATCTGGATTTAAAAAAAACAACCCTGAGTTGTCAACAGAACCGTGATCCCTCTGGGGCCCCATGGTCCCATGGTTCATGGCTCATATTTGGGACACAGAATGGAGGAATCCTTTTGCTATGTGATTGGCTGTCTTGGCATCATCTAAACATCATCTAACCTCAAATCAACTTCAGAGAGAATTTTAAAATATAAAAATTAGGGCTTCCCTGGTGGCACAGTGGTTGAGAGTCCGCCTGCCTATGCAGGGGACACAGGTTCGTGCCCCGGTCCAGGAGGATCCCACGTGCCGCGGAACGGCTGGGCCCGTGAGCCATGGCTGCTGAGCCTGCGCGTCCAGAGCCTGTGCTCTGCAATGGGAGAGGCCACAACAGTGAGAGGCCCGCGTACCGCAAAAAGAAAAAAATATATATATATAAAAATTAAATCCAAAGGCAGTACATACCATTAAATTTTCTGATTGTATCTTTTCATAAGCCAGTTTAGCAGCCAATTGTTTTGCCTCCTGTTTAGTGGAACCTATACCAATACCATATTCATTCTGTCCAATTTTGCATTTATAATGAAATCTAGGAGAAATGATAAACAGTATTAACCCAAATACCAAAAAACAGTAAATCTAACTCATGATTCAGAAAAAAAACCACACATTAACAAAGGCATAATATAACACTAATTTAATAGGTGGCTTCATAGTTCATTTCTTCTTTAATTTAAACCTTCAATGAGATGGCTGACCAGTTTGCCAGAATAACCAGCATTGGCTAACATCTCAGCTTGCATTTTCCAGGCAACTTCTCTTTGTTACTTCATTGAAAGATCTGGCATTAAGGTACCAAGTGGTGATTTTTTTTAAATTCCCCAAAAGTTAAAAGACATGGAGGCAGAGAAGGAAGACAGATCCAATGAATTTTTCAGAGATGTTCAACTGGAAAGAAAAAGCCAGTAGAGGAAGTGGGGCTTCTACAGGAGAAATAATAAGGTTAGAGTGTTTTTGTGGGAGATGGGCAAAGCATCCCTAACTTCAGCTCTAACTTTAGCATTTTCTGCCCCCTGCTCATGTGCACAAACACCTAAGAAAATCCTCACAGTGCAAAAGCCCCATGCTGAAGTCACCCCCTCCTCATATGAGCTGTAAGGATGCTTGTGGTTATAGGCAAGGATCCTTGGACCATTATATAAGAACTACATTTAAGGTGGCAAAGCAATGGACATGGCAATTTATATCATGGAGTTACCATGCAGTGCTACAGAATTATTCCAGTATGATTTGTCACAGAGGGAAACACACCCTACCAGGGTGAGTCTTCCCCGCTAGGCTCTGAAGGGAAAGTTAGGGAGCTGGGCTGAGTGACTGGATCATTTCTAGGGCTCCTATTTTTCTCCAGCACTCCCTAAATAGAATTCTCTCTTTCAGCAATCGAATGTTAAAGCCCTTAATTCAAAGAAACCAAACAGGTGAGCTACGGGAAAATAAAATAGTCTCTTAATTTATTGAGATTGACTCACAGAATTCACTTTTGAATATTTCACTCCAATGAATGCTATCACATTTTTCTCTTCCTAGTTCTGGCCTAAAATCCATCAGGGTGAAAAGTAAAACATCCATAGCTGAGTCAATTCCGAGGACAGTATCCTAAAGTGGTTGTTTGGACTATTTGCCATTTAGATATTTCTTCCTTCTCCCTCATTTAACTGGTTGGTTGTAGCTGAGAAACAATCTCCCTCACGCTCATTTGCTTTCTGCTTTTCCCAGTTCAAATCGATTCTTCTTCCTCACGTCCAAAGTCTTAGCTCACTGGTGACGTTCTCAATATCTCTGACTGACGCTCTCATCTGTCCCCCTCATCACATCCCTCAAATCCTGGTCTCCACACAGTCCAGGATGAAAGCCCATTCCTTCTAATACATGGTATTTGTTTAGAGAGTGACATCAGTTAATCAAATCTGAAGGGCAAACACCTGGACAAACAGCTCTAATCTGACAAGGGTGGAAAGAGAGTCATTCCACACGTGTGGCAGAGATGTTTTCACACGACTGCCACTGTGACCTCAGGGATGGGAAGATTTTCACAACCCTGCAGCAGGGGCAACCCACCCTCTCTTAGGCTTCCTGCAGACTAAACCATCCAGATATACCTCAGAAATAAAGGATTCCTCAGATTTGATCAGTTATGGGATATGGGTCCCAAGTCTTCAGCAATTAAGCATTTCAATATTTTAATTACAAAGATGTCCCATTGCTTGTAAGTCATATACAACCTTTTCTGCATAACGTACCAAAAAGGACAGATATTTCCAGAAAATTAGACATGAAAATAAGCCTGTTCTGTTGCTTAGATACAATGAAACAGAAAGAAAAGCACAACATCTCACTTATCGGGCCCACTGTCCCTCGATTCACATTCTTCGTAAATTACAGATAGGTTTTTCTTCTGGGCAATCGTATTAACACGGCCTATGTAATTCTCAACGGGTGGTACTTCTGAAGGATTTCCTGTCTGCAGTGATGAAGGACTAGCGGCCTAAAAGAAAGAAATGTTTTGTTTAATACAGATGATAACCAAAATTTATTTTGTCTAATAAAATTACTATTTTTTGTCTAATAAAATTACTAAATGAATAATTTGAAAGACAACTTCGAGTTTATGGATTTCCCTACTATAATATTTTAATAAAAGTATAAGTATATATCTTCCTCTGCCAGAAAAAACCCACAAGGATAAATTTTAACAGGAGAAAAGAAATCAGCCATTTCCCTTTTATAGTTTCATAAAGAAAAACAAAACAGTCAATTTTCTTGTTTATCTGGTAAAACTCTATAACATTTTCTGGTTTGCTGTGCCCTTTGTAAACCTCAAAGAACAAGACAACAAATACCAAAGTAAAGCTATATCCTGGATCACAACTTCATAGGAAACATGAACATAATAGCATTACTCCTTCCATTGTTATCTGTCCCTTTTAAAATTCTTAATCTGACAAAATCTTGTCCAAAGTTTTTCTACTTTGTTAACTTTGTCAAAGAACTTTTGATTCTACTTATCTTCTTTTTTTTTTGCAGTACGCGGGCCTCTCACTGTTGTGGCCTCTCCCGTTGCGTAGCACAGGCTCCGGACGCGCAGGCTCAGCGGCCATGGCTCACGGGCCCAGCCTCTCCGCGGCATGCGGGATCTTCCCGGACCGGGGCACGAACCCGTGTCCCCTGCATCGGCAGGCGGACGCTCAACCACTGCGCCACCATGGAAGCCCTACCTATCTTCTTTATTATTTCTTTGGTTTTTTTCACATTAATTTCTGCCCTTATTGTTTTCACCGTCTTTCTTCTGTTTTTTTGTGGGGAAAGGTATTCTACTGTTCCTTTTCTAACATCTTGACTTGGTTTTCTGGCTCTTTAACAATTTATGAGTTTGTGGGTTTTGCCTGATTTATTTTTCTCAATTTTGATTAGAAGGGTGACATCTTTAAGTTAGATTTTTTTTTTAATTAAAGAAAAAAAATTTTTTTTTCTTTTCTTTTTGCCTGCAGCACATGGCATGAGGGATGTTAGTTTTCAGGCCAGGGATTGAGCCTGTGCCCCCTGCTGTGGAAGCATGCAGTCTTAACCACTGGACTGCCAGGGAAGTCCCTTCAAGTAAGATTTTTCAAGAAAATATCTTGAATACTAAAATTTTTCAAGATTTTCAAAATCTGAGAATGATCCACTTTTGTCCTACATGTAAAATGACTTCTTGTCTCCAATGTCTCCTAGTTTTTAATGGTGCTGTGAACAGCATGATATCTTTTTTTTCATTTTTACATTTTATATAATTTTTCCTGCCTAGATGCTCATAGGTTTCTTTCTTCATCCCTGGAGCTCAGTACTTTCACAAGGGCTGACGTTGCTCTTGGTGGTTCTGTACTTTTCTGTACCTGTTTAGTTGCTGGGTTGTTTTAATCTGCAGCCAGGTCTTTCTTTATTTCAGAAATGCTTTCTACTGAAGTCTCTTCAGATAGCTTTTTCTGTACTAGTTACTCTGTTCTAATCTTCAGGGATACCAATTATACATATGTTGGTTCTTCATCATCTGCCCTCCATATAGATCATTCTCCTCATGGTCACTTCTATCTCTGTCCTTTTTCACTGCATTCCCTCAATTAGGTGGAGGAGCTCCTTCCAGAACCTGTTAGCTCATTTCTCACTGTTTCCTTAGAGTATGTCACTGCTGCTGGCACTCTAAATAGTATTGTCCCATTTTGCCCACTCTTCCGTAGGTGTACCTCTCATTCAGGGTTCTACAGAAATGGGGCCAGGAAAAAGACTGAACTAAACTTTGAAAGCAAAAGAAGTTGTAAATTGCTTTATTCTGCATGTGAGTATTTTCTCACAGAGAAAAATACCATAGATATTTCTGAGTTCCCTTTCACTAGAAAAAAAAGGTAATTACTCACCTTCTGTTCTTTACTAATTATTTCAAAAGCTAATTTGGCTGCAGCATTTTTGGCTTCCTTCTTTGATCTACCTTCAGCCTTTGGAAATTCTTTGCCATCTATTATAACTTGATAGGTAAACCTAATTACAAAGAAAAATTCACAAAATATTATAAAATTCATGCATTATCTAACAACAAGTGTTCTGATCACCACTGCTTCCTATGACTACCTTTGAAAATTTTAACCTATGTTCCACATAGAATTCAAGCAGTCACCCCCAAACAGCAAAATAGCATATCATCTTGAAGCATGGAAAGGCTTAAACCCTCTTTTTTCTCTGGAGTCCTCTGAAGTTACCACTTTACATCAGGAAGACAGTACTCTCTGGCAACTTTGCTCTCAAGCTAAAGAATTGACTTCAAAATTGTGCCAGAGCTGCCATTCTCCCAGTTTATATTTTCTAGGGATATACCCTTTTTTATAGCAACTTACCTTAAGTTATGTGGAGGTCCTGTCTTAGACAGTTCACGATACTTAAGTACTGCACTGTTCTTTTGTTGGTACTTATTAAGTTCTTCTATATAGAAACATGGTGAACGACCACTGCCCATTTTTTCCTACAGTAACCTACAATAAAAGAGATGTTTGATAGAGGTGATACACTCAGAACATATTTAATCTAATTATCCCAGTCTAGTTTAAGAGACAAAACAGGATAAGATGACTCTCCTTTATACAACTCATCTCAGTCCCACATAAACCCAGAGAAAACTTATTACAAAATCTTTCTTTCTCTCTCAAGGACTACACAATCAAGCTAATTTCTCCAAGATTTTCTACTTTCAAAACTCAACTGGCCAAAAAAAGGCTGGAGGTCCTTCTCTGTAACTTTTCTTTCTGCTTCCACTGAGTGTCAAGTGCAAGTCTGTCCACCTGCTTGAGAAGTTAAAAGCCTGCAAGAGTAGAATTATAATTATTTATGTTGAGAAGAAAAAGTTTGAGAGTATATATAAAGTTTATGAAATCATGAAGGATTTAGCTGTATGGACATTGATTCTCCTATGAAATCCCCCAAAATCCCCCCTTTGAAATTGTCAGAAGTCAGTTTTAGGACAATTTACTTGGCAGGCAAATTATGCCCCTGTTTATGGTTCTCACTGGAGCAAGACAGTAGCAATGATTTAAATTACAAACAAAAATCTAAAAAATATAGAATCTAAATATAAGAGCCGGGGCTTCCCTGGTGGCGCAGTGGTTGAGAGTCCGCCTGCTGATGCAGGGGACACGGGTTCATGCCCCGGTCCGGGAAGATCCCACATGCCGCAGAGCGTCTGGGCCCGTGAGCCATGGCCGCTGAGCCTGCATGTCCGGAGCCTGCGCTCCGCAACGGGAGAGGCCACAGCGGTGAGAGGCCCGCATACCACAAAATAAATAAATAAATAACAATAATAATAAAAAATAAATAAATAAATAAATAAATAAATATAAGAGCCAGAGCTATAAAACTTAAGAAGGAAACATAAGGGTGAATCTTCATAACCTTAGATTTGGCAATGGAATCTTAGATATGACAGCAAAAGCACAGCAACAAAAGAATACATAGATAAATTGGGCCTCATCAAAATTAAAAATGTTTATATATCAGAGGACACTATGAAGAAAATGAAAAGACAATCTACAGAAAGGAATTTTTATAAATAATATATTTGATAAAGACCTAGGATCCAGAATATATAAAGAACTTTTACAGCTCAACAACGAATAGGCAAAGGACTTGAACAGACATTTCTCCAAAGAAGATATACAAATGGCCAACAAGCACATGAAAAGATGTTCAATATCATTACTTATTAGACAAATGCAAATCAAAACCACGACTAGATACTACTTCACACCCACTAGGCTGGTAACAATAATAATAACACAGAAAATAAATGTGTTGGTGAGGGTATAGAGAAATTGGAAACCTCATACATTGCTGATGGGAATGTAAAGTAGTGCAGCCTTTATGGAAAAGAATTTGGTGGTTCCTCAAAAAGTTAAACTTAGAATTACCATATGACCCATCAATTTCACCACTTTGGTGTATAACCAAAGAACTGAAAAACAGGTTTTGAAATACTTATGCAGGAATATTCATAGCAGCACTATTCACAATAACCCAGAAGTGGAAACAAATCAAATATCTATCAACTGATGAACGGTAAACAAAGTGCTCTATATCTACACATGGGATCTTATTCAGCCATAAAAAGAATAAAGTATTGAAACATGCTACAACAGAGCTACATGTCAAAAACATGCTAAATGAAAGAAGTCAGACATAAAAGGTCACATAGTGTATGATTCCATTTATGTGGAACATCCAGACTAGGTAAATCCATAGGCAGAAAGCAGACCCTGTTGATCTCTTGTTTCTTATTAGAAAGCTCTTTTGATTTTCCTTCTTCCACGGTCACTCTTTCTAACACTCCTTAATCTTCACAGCCTTTAAATGCTGGAGTTTCGCCAAGGCTTGGTCCAAAGACGCTATTCTCTTCACTCTATACTTTCTCCTCAAGGTAATTTCTCTCATGACCATGATTTCAAAGATCATCTATTTGTCATTAACTCTAAAGTTTATACATAATTTATGAACCTCTTACTGAGTTTCAGATCTCTCTATCCAACCTCTCCACTTGGACAACTTGAATGACTTTTAAACTCAAAAGATCCAAAATTGCATTTTTAATCTTCCCTCAAGCTGGTTTGGAGTTTCCTTTCTCAGAAAATGACTCCACTGTGCATCCATGTCTGAAAGCCGTGAATCTGGGAGGCATTCTTGACATGTCCTTTCCCTACCTTCTGATCTATACCTAAGTCCTGTCCTCCAAATCCTTCTACTTCTCAATGACATCTATAGCCACCATCCTGGTTCAAGCCATCACCATCTCACTCCTGGACTGCTACAAGAACGTCAGAACCAATTCCTCACAGTCGCTGCAATTCCTTCTCTACACTGCAGCCATCATGATTTTTTTTAACTTTGTTTTCATTGTCGTAAAATATACATAACATGAAGTTTACCCTTTTTACCCTTTTTAAGTGTACAATTCATGGGCAAAAAGCATTTTCACAATGTTGTAAGGCCACCATCGCCATCCATCTCCAAAACTCTTTACATCTCCCCAAACAGAAAGTCTATACCCATTAAACAATAAACATTTCCCTTCCCCCTCAGCCCCTGGTAACCACCATTCTATTTTCTATGCCTATGAATTTGCCTATTCTAAGTACCTCATATAAGTGGCATCATACAATATTTGTCCTTTTGTGTCTGGTTATTTCACTTAGCTAATGTCTTCAAGGTTCATTCATGTTGTAGCACATATCAGAATTTCCTTCCTTTTTAAGGCTGAATAATATTCCACTGTATGAATATCCCATACTTTGTTTATCCAGTCATCTGTTGATGAACACTTGAGTTATTCCAACCTTTTGGCTATTGTGTATAATACTGATATGAACATTGTTGTACAAATATCTGTTCAAATCCCTACTTTCAAATCTTTTGAGTATATACCTAGAGGTGCAATTGCTGAATCAGATGGTAATTTTATGTTTAAATTTATGAGGAATTGCCAAATTATTTTCCACAGTGGCTGCACCATTTTGTATTTCCACCAGCAGCACACAAGGGTTCCAATTTCTCCACATCCTCACCAACAGTTGCTATTTTCCATTTTTTAAAAAGTCACATCATAATCTTTTTAAAACATCAATTCAATCATGCAGCCCCCACAAACCACCAAAATTGTTCTTGTCAAGGTTACCGATGGCTTCTCCATCTCTAAAATTAGTAGTCAGTAGTCAGTTCTCAGCCCCTGTCTACTTGACACATAACTAGCATGTGACATGGCTGCTCATTCCTTTCTCCCTCCTTATTCTTTTGCTTGGACACCCAAGACACCACCCTCTCCTGGTTTCTCTCCTTCCTCACAAGATATTCCTTCTCTGTCTCCTTTCCTTGTTCCTCTTCATCATCCTTTCTTTTAAATATTGTAGTGTGTCAGGGTCCAGGTCTCAGATCTCTCTGCTCTACTTACACTCATTCCCCTGATGATCCCCTTGAGGCTTGTGTCTTTAAATTCCACCTACACAGAGATAGTTCTCAAAAGAACACCTCCCTCACTGACTCTTTCCTGGCTCCCAACTGCTTCTGTCCAACACGCTTCCTCCTGAAGTAATCTGGAGTCTACCCGTGTTGCTGCTTTGCCTGGTTAACTCTTGCTTCCTATAGATCTCAGCCCAAATGTTACTTCCCAGACACCCTAGAAGAGGTCCTGGTTTGATGCTCTATCATAGCCCTTGTCTCCTTTATTACAATTGCTAATTTAACAGACTGTCTTCCAAAAGAGACCATGAGCTATAAGAGGGGACAGGCTTATAATAGGTGCTTAATAGTGAATAAATGAATACCAAAATATCTGCAGATCTCCCTTACCTCCATGACTTGTAACATGCTTTTCTCTCTGTTTGGAACGCAATAGCTGCATCCTCTATCTACCAGGAAATTCCCACTCATCTGTGAGGATCAATACATCCTTCTTTGATGCTGAGAGAGCAGCTAGTACGCCTCCACGGGCCTGCCACCCACCTTGCTCAGCTCCCATCATAGTCGTGACTGCTTTTTTTTTTTTTTTTTTAAATTATATAGGTTAAAGCTAAGTACCAAACACTAGCTAAATGACAAAGCAAAAAAAGAAAATAGTTGATAAATTATTAAGTTTCTGAGCACATGTGCATAAACTGAAGACCAGCATGATCTAATACTGAAACTAAAAATCAAACGTTAGGAAAGTTTTTTTTGTTTTTTTTGTTTTTTTTTTTGCGATATGTGGGCCTCTCACTGTCGTGGCCTTTCCCGTTGCCGGACGCGCAAGCTCAGCGGCCACGGCTCACGGGCCCAGCCGCTCCGCGGCATGCGGGATCCTCCCAGACCGGGGCACGAACCCACGTCCCCTGCATCGGCAGGCGGACCCTCAACCACTGCGCCACCAGGGAGGCCCGTGACTGCTTTTTAAACCAGTTAGGTGAGCTCTCTGGGGAGCTAGTTCTATGTCTTACTCATCTTTGTATAACTGACACCCCGTGACAAGTGGTAAATGATGAACACTTGGACAGTATATAGGTAAATGACAGAATGATTCATTAAAATTAAGTACTCCACTTTAAACCTCCTCACCGTCTCCCTTTTCTTCATCTGCTGTTTTCTTTGCATCCTTTCTTCATTCATTCGGTAAATGTTTAGTAAGTGTCAGGCACTGTTCTGATGCTGAGTATACAGATGTGTACAAGACAAATCATGCCCCTACCTACATTCCACTGAAGAAAGAAAGAAGATGACCAAGTCCAGAAACAAATAACAGGAGGGGATAACAGTTGGCTGGAAGTGCTACAATGAAATGAAATAGGGCTATGAGATAGAAGGGTGTTAACAGGTGGGGGCAGAGAAACGAGGGAGGTGGTTTTGATACAGTGGTCAGGGAAGACCCCTCTTAGGAGGCAATATTTAAATCAAGCCTGGATGATGAGAAAGTCCACCATACTTAGACATGGGGGAAGAGCATCT